GATAAGGCAGAACTATTTGCAAAGAACTTTTCTTCTAATTCCACTCTTAACCAGTCAAACAGGTTGACCCATTGTTAGACATTCAAATCACTCCGGCTTCTGTTGCTAAAGTCATATCTCAATTAAACTCGTCTACAGCTTGTGGTCCAGACAACATTCCTGTCACAGTCTTGCAGAATTGTTCTCCAGAACTTTCTTCAATTTTCTCTAAACTATTTAACAAGTGTTTGACTGAGTCTTGTTTTCCTGCTTGTTGGAAAATGGCATCTGTGGTTCCAATATTCAAAAACTCTGGAGAAAATTCTGACCCCTCCAATTATCGTCCGATCAGTCTTCTTTCTGTTATTAGCAAGGTCTTTGAGTCTTTAATCAACAAATTCCTCACATCTCATCTTGAGTCAAATACACTGCTGTCAGACAATCAATACGGTTTTCGATCCTCTCGCTCTACGGCCGACTTGCTAACTGCTGTAACTGAAAGATTTTATCGTGCATTAGATGGAGGCGGTGAGGCTAGAGCTATTGCTCTCGACATATCTAAAGCTTTCGACAAAGTTTGGCGTGCTGGTCTTCTCCATAAGCTTGCTTCATATGGTGTTTCTGGGAAAGTTTTTGAGATTATCAAATCATTTCTTTCTAACCGGTTTATTAAAGTCATCCTTAAAGGCCAACACTCTTCTTTATTTCCAGTAACTTCTGGGGTTCCCCAAGGTTCCATCCTGGGCCCTGTTTTATTTCTTATCTACATAAACAATCTTCCTGACAACCTTTCATCTAAAGTAGCTCTTTTTGCTGATGACTCAACTTTATACTCCTGTCTTGACAAAAAGTCTTCTCTTTTCGATCGCCTAGAACAAGCAGCTGATCTTGAATCCGATCTCACTTCAGTAATAGATTGGGGTTCACAGTGGCTTGTGATTTTCAACTCTGAAAAAACCCAGTTGCTTACTGCAAACAACTACCGTAATATGGTCAACATTCCTATATTAATGAATGGCAATCCTCTTACTGAGTCGTCCTCTTTACGTCTTCTTGGATTATCGCTTACTACTGACCTTTCATGGAAACCATATATACAATCGATTGCTAAATTAGCTTCTGCTAAGGTTTCTTCTCTTTATCGTGCTCGCCATTTTCTTACTTCTGATTCCATTCTCTACCTCTACAAATCTCTTATTCGTCCCTGTATGGAATACTGTTGTCATATTTAAGCTGGTTCTTCTAAAGATTCACTTTCTCTTCTTGACAAGGTCCAAAAACGCATTGTAAATGTTGTTGGACCTGGACTATCTGCTAAGCTTGAACCTCTTTCCCATCGTCGTAAAGTTACATCTCTTTCTCTTTTCTACAAATACTATCATGGTCACTGCTCAAAGGAGTTATCATCTCTAGTTCCATCAACTAAAATTCATTCTCGTTTTACTCGTCATTCAGCTAAGTCTCATTCGTTTACTGTATCTGTCCCTGCATTCTCTAAAATCTTTTATTCATCTAGTTTTTTTCCCCGCACTTTAATCCTTTGGAACTCTCTCCCATCTTCATGTTTTCCTGACTCATACAACCTTCAACTTTTCAAAGTCTTCTGTCAACCGTTTCCTTGCTCTATAACTCTGTTCTTTTTTTTCCTAGTAACTCCCAACTTGATAGTGGTTGCTTGCAGCCTTGTTGGGAGTGAATGCAAATAAAAAAAAAAAATTGGCTGTCTTGTAATTCAAACGAGCAATAGTATAATTCCTTCGGACGCTCGATGCAAAACTCGCTGTTCTTTTTGTTAACCCGCTTAGTCTCAGTTGTCCTTTTTGCTGGTTCCTACTGTATTCTTTATTTTCAATTTTACTAAAAATAGGGCCCATTTTTCAAATAACTTTTCAATTACCTTGATCTTCATTTTTTAAAATTTTTGAATATTCAATTATGTAACCACAATAAACTGTTGAGACTAACGGATTTTTCATGAGGCCGGTGGCAATAAGTGCCACAAACTCTAACCACTGCGCCACGGATGCTTTAAGGTTAATGTCTCCGTTAAATATATATATATATATATATATATATATATATATATATATATATATATATATATATATATATATATATATATATATATATATATATATATATATATATATATATATATATATATATATATATATATATATATGTATATATATACACATACATTATTGGTTATATTTAAAAAACGCGCTAGAAAAAAAATCTAAAATTGCTTTATAATGTCACAAGTTTAAATGCTAACATTTTACTTTGGTTTCCATAATAAAACCTTTTTCCAACGGAAATTTCCGTGTTACAAAATTTATTTTAAAGCAAGGAAACTTTCCTTTCAATTTTGTTAAATGGGTAGTTTCAGTAAAAATAACGGAAAATAGTTCCGTTAAAGTACGGGAATTTTTAACAGTGTGCGGAGTTTTTTTACAGTGTGTACCTTCCTCTAACTAACTCACAAGAAGCAACTCAAGCTAAAGCAACGCTTGATCTTCTACAAGTTTGTGATCTGTCAAACAGTTGTAGTTGTAGTTCTAGTGTTTGATACAATAGCTAGCAATAGTGGTATACATAAAGGAGCTGCTAAATATGGAAGCAAGTCTTGATAGAAAGTTACTCTATCTAGCTTGTCTCCATCGCATTTTCGAACTTGTGGAAATTATTGTTTGGTGACATTTTAGGCTCGGAAATCAAAATGTTAGCAAAATTTAGAGATGCATGGTTAAACTTGGATAAAGATCAACCGATACAAGTGCTGGAAACTGATAAAAAATAGTTTTTAAATATAAATCATTAAGTTGTCAAAAAACTTACAGACATGCTATCTTGCAAGGATTTAATAACTTTTACAAGAGATGATTACCGTGAATCTGCTGAAAACACTCTGATAATCTTGGGTGAAATTCCCCCACGTAGCGCCCACTTTCTCAAACCAGGGGCTATGCATTAAGCACGTTGGATAGCCAACAACATATATGCTGGAAAGATGTTTTTCAAAAAAATGCGATATGATGATAATATGGTTGCTTAACTCTTAAGCGTATGATTGGATTTTTGGCTCATTTATACACTCCTGCATGGATAAAAACATCATAGAGAGCGGATGCAACTTATGAATGACCTACATTTTATTCATGACATAATTGATTTTAGAAGTGTTGACAACGATATTGGTGACATTGTGGTTAACAAATTAGGTAATCATCAGTGGCACTTGTCAGCAGACGTTGTACCGTAAGCCTTATTTAGTAAACATCCTTTGATGACACCTGCATTAAAGAAAGAAATGGCGGATCAATTGCTTTTGACTCCAATACCAGAAAACTTCTGCCTTAGTAAACCAGTGTTAAAAAAATTGGTCGTGAAACAACTTTGACAAGTTCGATTGGGCCTGAATCTCATTTGTTGTTCTTATGGGCCTGAATCTTATTCGAAAGTAAGCACTAATTGGCTTTCCAAACCAGTGGAACAGTGGAATTTAGACCAAGCTTTTAGAGTTGCAGAACAATTTGTTTGTATAGTTAAAGCTGTCAACGATGCAACAAAGCGTGATATCAATTAAATTTCGGATTTTGCAACAATCATTCCAACTGATATTGAGCAAAATTAATCAATCAATCAATTCATTCATATATTCTGAAATAGTTGTCACATTCACGGAAGTTTACAAATAGTACATGTACTAAGTAAAAACCTAGCAAATAAAAGCTAATAAATATATTGATTAATGCAAATAGTAATATTAATTATCCACAGCCAAAGGCATGGTTGTTGCAGGATATCAAGCAGCATAGAAAGTTATATCTCAGTTTTGATATTTTTAAATTTGTGAAACTGTAGTGAACTGTATATTAAATACTTTTCAAGTAAATTACTAATTTTTGATCTAAAAGTAGGGTTCACTTTCGGAGGTTTTGAGGGACTTCAGGATCACTTATCAAAAACCTATAAAAATTATTCTTAGATATAGTATTGGTAGTATAATGGGAAAAAATTCACTTCACGACGTTTTGACACTTCATTCTCTACAACCCTAATATATATATATATATATATATAAAAAGTATATGAAAAATGTGTTACTTCATTTATATGTTTTGATATTTGGATATGTTATTTATAAGTTTTTTTTTAATAAATAGTAGATTGCTGTATTATTCTGATTTACTTATTACTCAAAAAAAATTGAATGATAAGGAAATAATTTTAAATTCTTGCTGTTGTATGAACTTAAAATTTTCTAATTTTTCTTTGTGGATTTGTCAATTTTTTTTTTTTTAATTTCGAAAACGATAGGGTTATTTTTGGTGAAGAGACTCTGAACTTGTAAAAAAAGTAAATAAATAAATAATGTCTTACTCAGGGTCAGCGTTGTTTTAAAGGGAAAAATGACTAAATAAATAAAAAGTATAACTAAATAAATGAAAGAAAAAATATATTTTTCAAAAAAAAAATTTGTTAAACTTTTAATAAACTCAATAATTACTATGTTGAATTTTAAGAAAATTAAATATTTGGTTCAAAAAGTCATAAAAATGAATTGAGAAAGTTAGTTTTTACTAAGGGTATTTTTACAAAAATAAGGCACTTTTTTCATATTTTAAGTAGAAAATGTGATGGTAGGGTGCGTCATTTTTTTCTCTGTTTTCAGTTGGGTTCAGAGTGTTAGAGTCAATTTTCTTAAAACTTAGCATTTTTTTTGCAAAATTATAATTTCCCCCATTTAATTACAGTTGACTCTTGATATCTGGAACTCTCATTGGACCGGGAAAAAAGTTCGAGGTTAGAGTTAGAGATTTTAGCGCAGATATCGAGAGTTTGAGAGTTGAGCACAAGGAGCCGGAAATAAAGTTCACAAAAATTCGAGATATCGAGTAGTCGAAATATCGAGAGTCAACTGTAGTCATATTTTAGCTATTTTTCCGTTCAAAATAACGCTGACTCATCCAGCAAGGGATCATTGAAATTTTTTTTTACAAATTTAGAACCTCGATAAAATTCTTCACCAAAAGCAACCATGCTGTTATCGAAATAGAAAAAAAAAGTAATCGACACACCCACTGTATAGTGTTTCAAAAAAATGCGTCCGGCCGTATATTAGGCCATGCTTTAAATTTTATTTTGTTTTGATTTCACTCAATTTATTTTACTTTTAAGTCCATCGTTTTTAAAATGGATGGGTATGACTTGATGATTTCTTATTCGCACAAAACACGAGAAGTTACATGGAAAATATATGATTGGTTTGAAAAGCGTGGTTTTAAGATATGGATTGATAAGAATTATTTAGATACAGAAATGGCTAAAGAAATACGACTTGGCATTGATAAATCTTCAGTATTTATTCCTTGTTTTTCAAGTGATTATGAGAAATCTCCATGGTGTAATAAAGAATTAACATATGCCTCTGTAAATAATAAACGTATTGTTCCAATTATTGTTGAAAATGGTTATGAATTAAGCAGTGATATTAAATTTAAAATAACTGGATTGAAATATTTTACTTTGGAAGAAGATTTTGATACTGCAATGAATGAAGTATTAAAGGCTGTGAAAAAGTATACAAATAAAACAGGTAAGTTTTAAATTATAAAAGTTTTGATGGTTTAAATTTATATTGGTTTTTTTTTAATATCTAAAAATTTATTTAGAATAAGCTTTTAGATATTAAAAACAAACAAGAAAACAACTATTTTTAAACTTTTTTTATTTTTTTGTAGGTTATATAAGATAAGAAATTGTATGCTTAATAAAGATACTAATAAGATACTAATAAATATACTAAATATAAGATACTATTAAATAATAATAAAAAAATATACTAATAAAATATAATACTAAATAATACAGGCTATATGATAGTCGATGTATGTACTATGTACTATGTACTATGTTCAATGTAGGCAATAAAAATTTCTTATATTTATATTAAAACATCACCACATTAAGCAAGTTTCCACACGAGAGTGCAACAAGCGTAAAGATAAAATTATTTTACTCCGCTTAACTACAGATTTACCAGAATATCTAAAATGTAATTTGATTATCTTGTTCTTTTTCCAAAGTAAGTTTTTTTTTTTAAAACTTATGAGTTTCTTTGATAGCAATAATGACATCTACATATAAAAAATTAGCAAATATTAAACCATGTTTGTCATAAAACTTTGGTTTTATGAAATAAAGTATATATACAGTGACTCACAGTGAAAATGATGCAGCATAGTAAAAGATACATTTTCATGATTCAACATTAACATCATTTTTGAAAATATTATTTTAAGTAAAGTATACATTGTGGCATAATCTTTATATTAGACATTTGTTTTTATGTTGATTTAAATTAGTTTCTAAACAATAATACACAACATATTGTTTATTGAAAAAACATATCACAACGAAAATGATTCAACTAAATTTATTGCCATATCTCTCAAATATCAGAAATAACTAACCGCAATTACATTATTTTGTTTTAGTATGACATCTGTCAAATTATTATTAATATTGTTAGTTATTTATCTGTTTATTTAATAATTTGTGCGTGCTTTAAAATACAAAAAAAAAAAAAAAAAAAGGGGGAGACACATGACTCTTGAAGAAAGGCAATCCTATTTCATTTCCAAAAAAAAATTGGTCAATGAAAAGTAACAAAAATTGTTAATAAAAGTGCGTCTACAGTGCAGCATATCATAGAACATTATCAAAATGCATAACCACTGCGGCCGTGGCCCAGTGGTTAGAGCGTTTGCTTTATAAGCAGGAGATCCAGGTTCGAATCACGGACTGGATTTTTGCATCACGGAAGAAGGAGGCGTGAACTTCCTGGTTAAATGCACTTCCGATGAAAATAGAATACAAAAACAACAAAAAATGAAACAAAAACAACAAAAAATGAAACTAGAATAAAAAATAATGTGATAATAAGTCCCAAAAAAAGTTTTATAATAAGAAAAGAACTTGGCGAGATAATCCACATGAACTCCAAACTTGGCGAGATAATCCACATTTATGTACACTAAAGCTTGCTATTGAGGTAAAAAAACAAATTGGAAAAATGTGTATCCAGAAGCAATCTGTAGAGTTTTAATAAAAAACAACTTCCATGGTAGAATAGCTAATAGGAAACCATTTGTAAGCAAGCAAAATAAAAATAATCACCTCAAGTTTGCCAATCGTTACAAAACAAAGATTTTAACTTCTGAAAGAATGTTTTATTCACTGATGAAAGTTAATTTAACATCTTTGATTCAGATGGTCGAGTAAATGTATGGCGAAGAACAAATGAAGAGATGAAACCTAAACATTTAAGACCAACCGTAAAACATGGTGGTGATCATGTAATGGTTTGGGGTTTTTTTATTGAGGGCAATATGGACAAAATAATGTACTTAAATATTTTAAAAGAAAACTTAACAACCAAAAAATTGAACATAAAAGATCATTTTGTGTTTTACCAGGACAACAATCCCAAACATAAATCACATATATTAAAACTACATTACTGTGATGTAGTTTTTGTTTAGTTTATAATTGTTTAATAAAAAATTAATATAATTGTTTGTAAATTTATTTCAATTTTTCACAATAATAATATAAAAAAATACAATGTAGTTCATTTTCAGAAAGATTATGTTAAAATAATGTTTAATCACGAAAACACGTTTTATACTAACCTGCATCATTTTCACTGTGAGTCACTGTAAGTAAAAAGAACAAGCATATTTTCTGAACTTGGTGCTGAGGAGAATCTAATGCAATTCTATTCAAAATATAAATCATTTTCTATTAAATAAATAAGAAATAAGGACTGGATGTTGATATATATTTTATATTTTTTGAAATGAGTATTAGAAACTGTTTGGAACCAGTTTTGTCAATAATTGAAAAATTGGTTGAAAAGGTGGCAGAGAAGAATATTTACTGAGTTTAGTGCTTCTTCAATAAAGAACAAGTTCTAGCTGTTTTTAAACCAAATGTATAAATTTTAGTGTAAATGTCTTTTTTAATAATGCTTAATCTTTTTAAATCTCTTAAAATACTATTGTAAAGATACTTTTTTTGTTAATAGTTGGATTGTTGATTTTTAAATTCAGTTTTTATCACTTATAATATTATTTGAATATTATATATATATATATATATATATATATATATATATATATATATATATATATATATATATATATATATATATATATATATATATATATATATATATATATATATATATATATATATATATATATATATATATATATATATATATATCAAGCCTTCCCAGGAAGTGCCTACGGTTGCATGCTTTGTTTATCATACAAATTTTTTTAGATATCTTGACCACGTTTTTTTATAGCAAGCATTTTAAAAATTTGTCGCAAAATAAAGCTATAAAAAAAAATTGTAGAGAATAAAACAGCGATACTTGAAAAAAGGAAACGAATACTATATGAAATAGAAAATCTAAACAAAATAAACTAGAAAATTAAAAAATTTTGTCAATAAAATAATATACCTAAATATTTTACTGTTTTTGTTTTCTTTTTTTTAGAGGTTTGTTATTTTTCACTACAAAAGTTGATACAATTCTAGGAAAAAAGCAGATAAGAATATAATGAAAATAAAAACATTTTTTGATATACAATTTATTAGCGACTTTGGTCAGTCAGTATATTAAGGAAATGCTTTATTATTTGCACAAAAATACGGACAATTTTAAAATTTGTTTTTCAAATATTTTTGCTAAACTTTACTGTTTTTATCAATGCACAGAAATCCAGAAAACTAATTGGTATTTATTTGTAAATTTTTTTATTTATTTTAGTAATAAGTTTTCATGTAATAAAATAAAAACTACTGTTCAGATATAAAATATTTGGTTGTTTTCACTACCCCCATTGAAATAGTCTGCACTTTCGTTATATTCTCCAAGTTGTGAATTTAAACCCAATAGTTTATTTTATGATGAACTATTGTTATTGATGATGCTCCAAAAGCTTGTAGGCTAGTGCATTGTTAATTTACTGAATTTTTTTATGAAATTTTTTAGGAGTTTATTTAAAACATTTTTTTTAAAGTTTTTAAATACATTTTTTTAACCCTTTGAGCGCTCGATAAAATTTGAACGCCGTTCAGAAAAGTTCAACTAAAAAAATATTGGCAAAAAATCGGTAATAAACGTAACAAAAAAACAAACAAACAAGAAAACAACTATTTTTAAACTTTTTTATTTTTTTGTAGGTTATATAAGATTAAAAGCAGTTTAATGATTTTAATGCAAAACTGTAGTGTGATAATTGGAAAAACAGGCTGGACACAGTCCAACACCACATAACTGACACTGCCAACTTGTGCGGACTCGAGTTTGGTGCCCAGCTACATATTTTATTTTTTTTCCTGCACCAACCTTAACAAGATTGTGACCATATAATGGATTGTTATTTGCAGTGGGTTGGGGAAGTGGGTACGGAACATATAGGCATATAGGCTATAATATAGGCTTTTTTTTACCATCTTGGTATGCCACACACAACAAGGGACCTTTTCTATATTGGCAAACCTCCTTATTTTTTAATTTTGATTTAATGTAGGTTTCTGGTAGGCCTTTCTTGTTGACTCTCACTGTGCCTGTTGCAGTGGTCTGATGAGCATATAGATCTAATAACAGTTGAGGAGAAGTATAATAGTTGTCAATACCTAAGTGATGACCTTGGTGGAGGAAATTAGTTTGGCGCAATAGACAAAAAACTAAACTATAAGTCATATCATAGGCAATGACTGCTACATCTGTGTCTTTTCCTCCCTTGTAAATTTCAAATTGATACAAATAACCGTTAGTGCTGTCTGAAACACACCATAACTTAATCCCAAACCTGGAATGACATTTGTTTGCCATATATTGATGCAGATGTGGTGTCATTCCTTTGTAGCCAACCATACTCTCATCTATAGAAATGTCTTTTTGTGGATAATAATAATATAGAAATTTGTTGTTAAAATGTTCAACTAAAAACTGAATTTTATAAATTTTATTGAGTGGTTGTTGATTTGGTATATGGATGTCAGTAAAATGAAGAAATTTAAGCCAAAGTTCAAACCTGTCACGATTGACGTGGGTAACAAACCAGGGAGTAGATGCACAAGGACTTATATCCCTGTAAAGTTTAAGATTAGCTTTTTTGATGAGACCCATGTTATCCTATTATCTCTAAAAGATTGGTCTTTCCTTGTTTAATCTATCCATGACCTCTTGATGTTGGATGGGACCTCACATGTTGTTGATTGTTTTGAATCCACTTGTCAGCAAAATTATTAGTAAAATTTACTATAGTTTGCAAAAATTCAGTAGTAAAAAACAAGTCCACATATTCAATAGGCATAGACTCAGGTGAAATTGAGTGCTTGGGTCCTGATTCACCAGTAAAGTGAACAACATTAGGACCATTTTCATCTTCTAGAACAAATAACCAATCATCTAAAACATTACCACCAACATCACCTACATCAACATCGCCATCAGAACTGAAGTCTACATAAAAATTAAAATAAAAACTTCAAATTATCATAATAGGTGATATA